TTATAAATTAACTATAGTGGGAAGATACAGTAATGGTTAGAATGCTTTTAGCTGTTTACAAATCAGACAAACTAATGTTATCAGTAATCAGCTCCTGAGAGTTTTTGCTTTGAACAGGATTCATCACAGTTTATTTTCTAGTATAACTGAAGAACTCAGTCATGGTGTGCTTGGGGAAATGTGTTTACCAGCTGTTTCTTTCTAAGTATGCCTCATGACAATTTTCTTAAAATATTTTCACTTGAGTTTTCCTCAAACTCTCACTCAATTTTCTAGGAGAATGAGGCTACCAGATTTCATGAAACTCATTTTTTTCTAAATGATTGTTCTGCTCAATTATTAAAATACCTATCACTTTGAAGAACACTTCCTAGGAAATTCATTACAATATTGTAAGCTTACCTTTGAATACCATAAGCGAACTTTAACATATCCAATGCTTCTTTTATAGGAAGACAAGAGCAGATAAGTTTATTATCATAGTCTACAGTGGATAATAGGAAATATACTCTCCCACAAAGATAATTGATACCAGTTACTTGGCATACTTTTCAACTTTTGCCATATATTTACAGCATTATAGATAAGCATTCCGTGATTTTTAGCACAAATAAAACTGCAATTTTTTTCTAACAGCTACAAGAAGTCTTTATTTCCACTTTACCCATGTTTCTTTAGTACTGCCAGATTATTAGTAATTTTGGGGGGTTTGGGATATGATTGTAAACATGCTGAAATTATTTATAGACGTCCAAATTTTGTAAACTTCCAAGACCTTTACCCAGACTTACGAAAAAATGATGAGCAACTGAGCATTATTTCATCAGAAAAAGACACTCCTAGAAGAAAAAGCATTTGTCATTCATTTCTTTAAGAGTAAATCTTCCTTACTAGTGGGAGAAGTTAGTATTTTCTTCATATAGGAGGTTGATCTTTTACAATGTTCATATAAAAACTTTTATTCTTCACTCTAAAAATTAAATGTGGGCTAACATTGGAATAAGAGGTAAAGTAAATCAAATTAGCAGCCTTCAGGAGTTTCCCTTGAAAGATGAAACTGGAAATCCCAGAAGAGGGTGAGAATCGCAGCGCCAGCATCTCCCGTGAAAGAATTAGATGTAGTGCTACCTTGTTCTGGAACTTAGCCCAGCTTTAGCAGAACTAACAATCGCGGTGGGAGAACCAGCTTGCAGAGTGGACACACAGGAGACGCTGTCTTTATTTCAGAAGTTTACCAGCCTTTTCTATATACTTCTGCAGTCATTTCAGGAGTCAGGGCATGCAGTTACTCTCCAGAGCGATCAATGCACGCGACGTTTGGGCTTGGGGACTTGCGGCGAAATCAAGGGGGGGTTGCACATGCGCAGTGAGCGCAGCGCCCCACCTCCGCGCGGCTTCGGCCCGCGGGCTCTTAGGGCGCCGTCTGCTGCAGGGCGCGGGAGCCTGGCGCCCCTGCCCAGCCTCCCCAGCTCGGGACGCTCTCTGGCGTCCGGGAGAACCGGTCGGGGCTCTGGGCAGACTCCGCGGGACCAGCCCGGCCCGAAGCGAAAGCGCGGAGGCCTCGCCTGCAGCCCCGCGCCCCGCGCCCCGCGCCCTCCTCCACCCGCGCCGGGTTAACTCCGAGGCGGCGCGGGGCGACCTCAAGGGCGGGGCACGGAGCGGGGCCGGCGCCCTTGGCTGCTCCCGCGGTGCGGCCGGGTCGCTGTCCAGCCGGGGGGCGCGGGTCTGGGGATAAGCGACCCGCGGGGCTCCCTGCGCGCGGCCGCGTGGCACGTGCGGGGAAGTGACTGCCGGCTGCGTCGAAAGCGCCGGTCTGAGTTCGCGACCGGCGCTACCTGCCGCCTCTGGGGTCAGTCTCCGACTGGAAGCCCCGCAGCGGCTTCTCTGCCAGCGGGAGGCTGGAGCTCGACCTCTTCGCTCCGAGTTACGGGAAAGGAACCCACGCGCAGAGGGGGCCGGCGAAATCACCGTCACCTCGGCGTGGCTTTCCACAGAAAAGCAGCGTCCGAGCTCAGGGTGTATAGGGTTGGCTTTAAAAGGTTTAAAAAACAGAATAAGAAATTAGACGTAACCCAATGCATGCATGGATGTGCTATCTCCTCCCTGGTGGTGGAAGTGCCCAAAAGTCCTTTCCTCGTCAAACCTGGGCGGTCTGCTCAATCCTGTTCAACCCGGGACATTATTTCCCCAAGTTCGACGCTTCACATCCTCATATGTTTGCTTTTATCATTGTAATTAATAGTTGGAGTCTGCAAATTTGGTTATGGAATATGTCATGACTTTATTTCTAACTCAAGTATGTAAATATGAAGTTATTTCAATGATGTTAGATTTGTGGTTGGCAAAATTACTGTATTTTCGTGACTTGAATAATTGAATGTGTTTTAAAATGCTAACATAATCTTTTAGTCCTGCTTTGAGATTTCATAGCTAAAGCTTTTTGTTAAAAATAAGTCTTTTATTATTTAAATGTTTTAGATATTCTCACCTCTTTACCTACCTTACCCTAAGTCTCTCATCTTTGCTTCCAAAGTCTTTAAACACTTAGAGCTATTACAGTCCTTAAAACAGTGGCAGGTACCTGCTTGTTGAATTAATACAGATTGCAGTCTGTTCTTGCAGAATAAATTAATGTCTTTTCCTTACTGGACTTCATGCCCTACAACATAGGTAGATTCTCCCATTAGCAAAGCAATGGCACACATTGATATTTAATACCCATTTGGCTTGATAGAGGATATATATGTACCTCAAGCATCTAAACAAGTTTTTAAAATGTAGATGCTAATATCTAATTGGCATTTAGAAAGCTTTAATTTTTAAAATTCAGCTAGGAGCTGAAAAACTACATGTATGTTAAAATTAACAAAGCCTTTAGGTATGTGAAGCACATATTCTCATGATAATTCTGAATTCTCAAGTGAGATTTATAAAGGGAAACAAGATTTAAAAACTGGCTTTATGCCTTTTTTCAGTGTCATTTTCATAAAGAAAGAAGGAATTTAGTGAACAATTATTTTGAAGTTATATATTATAATTACCTTTTTCCAAAAGAAGTCAAAGTCTTCCAAGCAAACTTCATGGAAACACTTTTGCAAGTTGTTCTGATAGTTTCATTCTCAATTGGATGTATACTTTTATGTGTCAATTACATTGTAAAACCCTAAAGTCAGCTGGTAATTTCAGAACAGTAATCTTTTAATCATTTAAAAAAAGAAATTTTCACTGTTTAACTGTTAGTTTAAAGGTATGTAAGTGATCATGGAGCATTCATTTAATTTTGTGAAACTGTTATTTTGTTTTAAAGGGGGTTGGAAGTGGGTCAGGATATATAGATTGGTTTTCTTGTCAGTAAAAGTAGTCTGCCATATTTTACATTTAAATTACCAATGGTTTCATTTACATGTATATTGTGACCTGTTACATTTGTATAATTACAAGACTTTTTTTTTTTTTAAAGAAAGCTAAAAGAGTAAAGATCTCACTTCTTTGGTAGGTTCAATTTCAGATTTTAAGTGGGCATCTTGTGTCTTGTCAGGAAGAATATGATTTAACTCATGGGCACCGTTACTAATGACATTCTGTAGTTTAAAATAATTTGCATACCATTTGAACTTAAGTTTTCAAACTTTGTAGCCTCCCATAAGTAGACAGTTTATGTTTATTTTCACTATTAAAGTTTTAACTCTTTAAAAGTGGAAAATACATAGGAAAGCAGTTACTAAAAATGGCAGGGGTAGTTGGTTAGGAGCTTAAATTGTTTAAAGACAAACTACATATGGAACCTTTTCATTTTAAGGGGATTTTCCCCCCACAATGCAATAATCAAAAATAAAATTATTGGCAATCTTAATTATTTACTGTCCCCCCCCCCAACATGTCTAAATAGGAATACACAACTTCTCTAAGACCAGTTCTCTTAGGAAAATATAGAGATCACTGTGAATTTATAGTTTAGAATTAAATGGATTGTGATTATCACTGCCTTCTAAACTAAGCAAAAGACATGCCTGCCCTGGGGTTCCCAGGGATCTGATTGAATGCATTTCTCCCTTTCTGATTGCTGGCCCATTTCTCTACTGTTTGGGGGCTCCACAAAATACCAGGGCTTCATCAGAGAGCTCAGGTCAAGGTGAGACCTCAAAGAGAGGATTCACCCCAAATATAAATAAAGTATCAGCTAATTTTGGAGGCTTCTATTGAAGAGATATCAAGGATTTCCTGACATGGCACTACCTGCAGCAGCTGTGGCCATCTGCCCATTTGACACCTGGTGAATCTGTAGTTTCTGATGGAGAAATATTTAAAATTGGCAGCTGTCACTGAAACATTTGGTATAGTTTTGAAGCTAAGTACATACAGTACTAAGTACAGTACATAAATTTTGTAGATTCAGTACTTAAATTTTGTTAGACTAATGTAAGTACAGTACTTAACATTTTGTTAAACTGGATAAAGATTTCAAGTTATATAAACGAGATGTGTAGCTTTCTAGGTAAAAGTTCTCCTTTCCTTTAGGGAGTGTCACTCAGAAACAAAAAGAAGCTTAAATTTAAAAGACATGTTTAACTACATAAAAATGAAGAAACAGTCATATTGGTCATCAATAGGAGAAACCACCGGAGAGAGGACATTTAGTTTATAATCTCCTCCTCTGCTTTTATCTAGGAGTACCTAATAAATACTTTCAGTATGGTGTAATTATGCGTCTGCACGTGGTTGTGACCGTCCAGGAATCTTGAAATCCGAAATGTTAGGTATATAAAAAGCTGGATTAATAAAGGACAATACTGACTCTTGGGTTGCATTGACAGCAGTGTATTTGTCAGGTTATACACTGTCACGGAGGGGATTTCTAGTGATCATCGAAGCTCAGACCACCCCACGGAGCTGGGGGCTCTCCGGAAACACCGGACAGGACCCGGGCCGCCAGCGCCACGCAGTGTGGCGTAGGGAGCCCTGCATGCGGTGCCCCTGGGATTGGCCGTCCTCGCCCGCCGTCCCGTGACGTCACGCCCGGACGGCCGAGCGCGAGCGGCCGCGTTCCGCTTCCCCTTAGGTCGCCCGGGCGGCGACGCGCCATACACAGAAACCGCCAGCGTCCGAGGCCGAGTCGTCCTGGCGGTCCACCTCCCCGCGGACTCGCAGGCTGGGCGCTGCGGGCGCCGTGAGCCCGAAGCAGACGCGGCAGGGGAGGGCCCGACGGGCAGGCGGCAGGCGGCGCCGAGCGAGCCTCCCTCCGCGGCCGAGGAGCCAGAGCGCCGGGTTCCAGCGCGCGCAGGCGGTGGCGGAGCAGGCGACCGGGCCCGGAAGGTCGAGACGCTGCGGAACGGGTGAGCTCGCCGGAACCGACCCCGCGCCCAGCCGGGCCTCAGCCTCGCCAGCCCCGGTCCCGTGCCGTCCTCGCCCCGGGCCACCTGAGCTTTGGGGGGCGGGAGCCCCGAGTTCCCGAGGCCCATCACAGAGTGGAGAAGGATTCGGTTTGGGGTCTTTAGGAGTGGGGCCGCGGAGGCGAAGCTTCGGGATGGACGGGACTCACCCCCTTCCAGCTTCCTTCCCGCCGGGCACGTTGTCAGGCTGAACCAAGGCCCCAGGCGTTGCCCGGGACTCAGTTTTCCTGAATGGGAAGCTCCTTTGATCAGACCCATTTTATCCGGTGCTGACACTTGTCACCCTGTCTTTGATCACCTTGTGTTTCCTCGCAGCAAAGAAATTCCAGACTGGTTTACAGTGTTTATTGTCTTCGACTAGTGAAAGGGACATGATATTCTTGAATCTTTTCCAAGAGATTCGACGTAGGTAAAAATAAAACCTGCCTTATGCAGTCTTTATGGTGTCTTCATTCTACCTCTCAGTCTGGACTCAGTCTCTGCTTTCCACCCTCCCCCTCCTCCTCCCTCTCCCTCCCCCATACTTTTTTTTAAAAATTAAAGATAATTCCACCACCATCCGAATGGTAAGGTAGCAATTTGTCATTACTATGTCACAAGTCTTCAGTTTGTAGGACAGGATCTTTAAAATTAGTATAACACCTCATTAAAAAGAGAACATGTTGATAGAGGAAGAATATTTAGACCTAATGTTTACTTTAGATTTCTTGGAGGGGAATTACTACTATAGGTATGTGGTGATTTCTTGTCACTGAGATCTTGTTTATTCCTTGAGTGTTTTTTCTTATTCTTCTTTCTCTTTTTTTGGGGGGGGGATATATTCAACACGGGGAAAGTTCAGATTTTTTTTAAATCTTCAATTTAAGATCATTTAGGTTCACAAGAATTTGTAAGGAATAATACAGACTTTACAGGAATGATAATTTCTTGCAAAACTGCAATATTGTGTCAGAACTAGGATGCTATTGATAACTATCTTAATTCAGATTCCCCCAGTTTCATTTATTTGTGTTTGTGTTTTATTCTATACAAATTTATCTTGTGTACATTTATCACCGCCATAGTCAAGATACAGAACACTGTAGTCGTTGTAAGGATCTCTTGTGTTGTCCATTTGTAGCCACACTCAACCTCTCCTGTCCTGAACCCTGGGCAATTACTGATCCATCAGAAATTACCCATTTTTAAGAAATGTTATTTTGGAATTGATAATATTCTGTAGTTGTTTCATTTGGAAGTACTTCGCACAAGATGTTTTATACACACAAACTAGGGCATGTTACTTTTTTTTTTTTTCTCAATCTCTGCTCAGTGCCCTTTGTGAATGGGCACTTAGGTACAAAGATTTACTTTCTGGACTGTATATAATGCACACTAAATCATTTTTTAAAATGGGAGAATTGATGTTATTTTAGAAATTTAATGAAATATTGAAATAGACATAAAACTTAAGATATAGAGTATCACTTTTTCATCCAATATAGAATATATTATGGAACTCCCTCCCTCTCTGTTTTTCCCTTCCTACCTTCCTCTGTCCCTCCCTCCCTTCAGATAGGGTCTTAATGTGTTGCCCAGCTTGGCCTTGGGCTCAAGTGATCCCCTTGCTTCTGTCTCCCAAATAGCTGGGATTTAATATGAACCACTGCAGTCTACTTACATTATGGAATTTAATCCCGCTAGTAGACTAAGTGATCACCAAAGTATAAGTACCTTAGATTTGACCTTCTGCACTTATGGCTTGGCTTATGAAGAATGGAGTACAAAAGAATATAACAGTGTTTGAAACTACCTATAACTTTTCCTGATGGCATACTATGACTTCTTTCTTTTCCTAAGGAATTCTGAACATATGTCATATTACATAATTTAAGAATCCCTTGGGCTGGGGATTTAGCTCAGTGGTTTCGCCACCTGCTGCACAAGCGCAAGGACCTGAGTTCAATCCCTGGTACCAAAAAAAAAGATCCCTTTAGTTGCTTTAGAGACTGATTGTGCATATCCCAATATATTTATTCTTTAAATAATTACCTGTAAGCATTTTTTTTTTTCTTTTTTGTACCAGGAATGAACTCGGGACCTTGCGCTTGGGAGGCAGGCGTCAGAACCACTGAGCTAAATCCCCAGCCCCAAATTATTTACTCTTAACACAGATTTTAAAATGCTTTTGAATGAGTCACCATATGTGTGTATCAGTTATATATAGTACAATCACTTTTTTTCCAATGAGTTAACTTTCTTTTGGTAGTGACTTTGTGCATTTTATTCTGACTTTGAGATACTGCCTGTGTATCTGGGATGATTTTGTTTTCTTTCCTCCCAGTACGCTGATAGTAAGCATGAGTATTAAGATATAAGGTAAAGTGAAAAACATTTTCCATATAGGCAACCTGATCAAACAGTAATTCTCTAAGAATTTTAAATCATTGCATATGAAAGAAATATTAAATATGAAGATTATCAATGGATTTTTATTGTATTTTAAATCTCATGTTTCTCATTGTATTCCTGAGCTACTAATAAGAGAAGTTGGCTTAATGTATCCAGAGTAAACAAATTATTGTATTCCAAGACATCTTCAGAGTATTTGGAAAAGAGTAAACTTGATTTCTAATCAAAATTGTTACAACAGAGGGCCAGGGATGTAGCTCAGTGGTGCAGCCATCTGCCTCACAAGCGCAAGGTCCTAAGTTCGATCCCTGGTACCAAAAAGAAATTGTTACGGCAGAGAACTGTGTACAGTGTCTATAACCTTGAGATGTTTTTCTCATTGAGGATTATTCCTAAGTCAATAGAATACATAATGAAAAAAAACACATGAGAACATTAAAAAGTTTAATGTTTTATAAAATCTCTATGTACCCTCAAACCCTGTTTGAAACATTACATCTTGCAGCTATTTAAAAATGAATTTTGATACTTCCTCTCTGAATAATCAACGCATGACTGTAATAGTAAAGATAATACATCATTACTTTTACCTACCAGTTATAAAATGTCAGCACTTGGAGGTAGTTGGTTAGTTATAAAATAAAAAGAAACAGGTTTTGTTTTTCAGGGGGGTACTGGGGATGGAACTGGGGACCTTGCACTTGTGAGGTAGGCAGCAGAACCACTGAGCTACATCCCTGGCCTCAAGAAAATTATTTTTAAACTAGTTAGCTACATAAAATAAACTTTTTTTTTTTGGTATCAGGGATCGAACTCGGGTCCTTGTGTTTGCGCAGCAGGCAGCAAAACCACTGAGCTAAATCCCCAGCCCATAAAATAAACTTCTGAACCAGCTCTTTATATTAGAGTAAACGTCTATAATATTTTACAAATAACCTATGATAAAAATATGGTAAGTCAGTACATATTCAGACAAGTTAATAAGTTTACATAACACTTTAAATATGCATCTGTATGAAGCTATTTTGCTAATTGAGGCAATTGAATGCCTTCAAGATTTAAGAAAATAATATATGGCATATGATTTTAAATTACATGTGTCTGCAACAGGGTGAAAATCTTCAGGTTATTTAGTACCTCAATATACTACGGGAAGGAAAAGCTATTGGCATTCATAATGTACTTAAAATATATCTTAGTTGGCTGGGGATTTAGCTCAGTGGTTTCGCCACCTGGTACGCAAGTGCAAGGACCCGAGTTCGATCCCCAGTACCAAAAAATAAATAAATAAAATATATCTTAGTATGTACCATGATTCTTTTACAAAAACTTGTTGTTCTGAAGGATATTGAAACAAAAGAAAATTAGCAGAGTGATATATTTTCACATCATATTGTTTTTATAGGCAGAATTGGTTCATGGATATTAAGAGTATGTTATATGAATTCTTTTGTTGATTGTGGTGGTGATCATATCCAGGTCCTTGCATGTGCTGGGCAAATGCTCTCCCTAAGCCACTCTACCAGTCCTGAATTCTTATTTCTAATATTGGATATACTGTTAGATAGTACATGTTGGGAGCCTTTGGTAGAGACCCTAAGTAATATTAGCTTCTCACTAGAGGGCCTGTTTACTAGATACTAGGGCAGTTGTTCAGGCTGCTGTTATTTATGGACTCTAGATTTTCATGTATTCACTCACTTTGGACTGTGGATTCCTAATGGACAGGCAGGTAAGGAAAATCTTTTTTTCTCCCCTTCAGTGCTGGAGATTGAACCCAAGGCCTTGAGCAAACTGGGTAGAGACCACTGTGTTACGTCCCTGGCCCCTGAAATTTCTTTTCATATGTTATATATGGTGGTTTATTTTCTCTCACCATTTTTATCTTGCTTTTTTTTCTTCCCTCCACCATTTTTTTTTTTGGTACCGGGGATCGAACTCTGGTCCTTGCGCTTGCGAAGCAGGCAGCGAAACCACTGAGCTAAATCCCTGGCCCTCCCTCCACCATTTTTAATGTAGTTCTACTTGCACATCTGACTCTATTTTTAGGACAAACCTGCAATTAGAATAACAGTCTCCATGCTTAATCTGTGTAAGTGGTAAGAGCATGTCGTTTTAGAGAAAGAGAAACACCTGGGGCCTGATAATTATGAAGCACTAAGAGGCAATTCAAGAACTAGGCATTTGGGGCAATACTTTTGAGAATTTTCTTCAGTTAAAAACCCTTACTGAAGAGCATTCATTGAATAAGATTATTCCAACAGAGGAATAATCAACCAACATGTCAGCTTTTTGTTGATTGTAACTTTGGAGCTTTTTAAATTTTCAAAACTTTCATTGTGCCACTGTCTGAATTAAGAAACATAGGAGAATTATGATGGAGCAGAAGCACTGACACGGAAGCCCAACTTTGGCATTGGGTAGAGGAGTAGAAAGGAGCTATGAGTCATTTTACTGGGTTTCTATTTTATGAGCCAGATCCAATAGAAAAACGGAAAAAATATATAAAGAAGAAAATTCCTTTGAGTATATGGACTAATGAAATACCATTT